ACCTTCATTTGGACGCATCCCGATTGAACACATGGATTTTGGTTTTTTAACACTCACATCACCCATCGACAGTGCCGACCGTGCGCCCTTCCCCGCCCAGTGCCAATGCCGAGACCTCAGATTTTTCTAGGGAGCACGATTCTTGCTGAAGTTGTCGTTGACAAACTTCGCTTTGACACAGTAGGCAAGGAGCAGTGCAGTTTCGATACATTTGTACGAAACCCTTCGAGATTGCTTTGCTATCTTTCCGATGAAGTCCTCTGAGCACGCATTGTCGAAGCATGCTGGGTTCAATGTTCTGTCCAACTTCGCTGCAATTGAATCATCGAACTCAAGTCTGAAATGACAAAGAGCATGGAATTTTGGGACCATCCCGAACAACCTCACGCCACCCTCCAGGCAGTGTTGTGCAAGAAAGCAATAGCTGGAACAAAACCTGTGATTTGCTTGCCTGAGGTGGCGCACGCAACCCTGCTTCAACCACAGTCCGTGCCCGTGCAGGCCCTGCCCCCCAAGTGAGCCCTGCCCTTGAACCAGCACTGACCCAAACAAGTACCTCTCGATCTTTTGGGGTCAAAGAAGATTGCACCTCCAGCTGTAGCCGAGCAAAGAAGAGCAGCCACTTCATGATAATGATTGTGTCTGACCCTTTGGATCCCACATATGGGAAAGCCTGGTTGGGCCCCTGATGAAAGTTCTGAATTGTAAACCCACGCAAGCGAAGACCTAGCTTCTGGACCTGGCAGAACAGCCGTAGGCTACCGTATGCTCTTTCCAATCGGGCTCCCACACTGCAGCTCTCACCAGCAACACCTTCATCGAAGAGCCCCATTGAGCCCATCAACAAAATGCAGGATGCTAAGTAGTTGCGAGCAACTCCAAGCCTGAAGATGTGAAAGTTGTCACGGCGCAAGAACAATGGCTTTCGTGTGTCATCAAATGGCACACTCTGCCATGGAGGAGCCGTTGACCACGGCAAAGATTGAAATCTTGTGTTTTCCCACGCAGCCCCACGATTGCAATCTTCAAAGGCAAAATTGTCTCCTCCAGCCAGGCACTCATGACAACAGGGCAAATTGTTCTTGTGTCCAACATTCTGGTATGAACGATCAAGACAACCAATTTTTGCAGCCCACTCCATGTCCGCTTTAATGCCAAGTACGGCCAGAAAAAAACTTCTGGCCATTGGCCATGACAACTCCTTCACGACAAGCTGACGCACAGTCCGTCATGACCTCCTCAATCATTTGGCGAAGCAAACCAGGCATGTTCCTGTGCCTTTTTGATGGATAGGCAAAGCATAGGAAATGGTGAAGGTACGAGTTCTGTTTTGAGTTTACCCGTTGTGCATCCGAGTTTGCCAAACATCCACCGCCAAAGCTTTCTGAGGTAGAACACTGGCAATGGAGCAATGAGGAGTTGGACGTCTCAAGGCCAAGCACCGGCTGAAATGAACACACTTCGATCGGTTCCTTTTTCTGCGTCCTACCTCCATCTCCGTGAAAGGTGATGGGGATTGTTTTGGATAATCTCTCCAAATCGTACTCGAAGACGGCGTGCTCAGGATGTTGCTTTTTGTACGATTGCCAAAACTCTAGGAGAAGTTCCGGAGATTTTTCAATGCTGCAACCGCCAAGCAAAACCCAAGGGTAATCTGCTAGAAGGGTTTTCACCATGTCGCTCACTTTCAGTAAGGGTAGTCTACTGGTTTTTGCTGCTTCCTCATGAACTTTCCAGGAGATAGGAACTTTGAGTTTCAGGTTAAACTTTTTTGACCAACAGCTTGTACTGCCGCGAGGCATTCTTAAAGCTCCTGCCCCGCGTTCCCAGCGATCTCTGTGCAAAGCCAGGCCCAAACTCTTCAGCCATAGCGTTGCTTTTCTCAGCAACAACTTTGGCAGGAGCCTGAACGGGAACACCGTCAAGTGGGTGTGGGTTATAATGCTCATGGTGAACATGTGATGCATATACACCCATGAAAGAATATGGCCAAGGAACGCCATCAGCGACACAACTTATTGTATGTTGAAGTACTGGACCAGGTCGTGGTGGGCCTAGCGAACAAAAAGCCCATCTATCGATGTAAAAGAACATGCAACAAGAAGCCTGCTCAACTCATATGACATGGTTGCACTGCCAACAATGTGCGCATTCAGTTTGCCACACATGCACAATGAGTCAACCGCAGTCAACCATTGCACCTGCACATGCAAAGAGTTGTTTCCTTTTCTTGAACTTCCCATAGCTAAGCCGAGTTCACTCGACATCTATGATTCACCCCATGACATCACGGAAGCTCCTAAAAAAAGCTATCCATGTTCAAAAGAGCATTTTGCCCCATGCAGCTGTACCGTGTCAAAAAAGACGATACACTAATCCCACAAGATGATCTAAGACATCCCACTAGCGCTGAGAAGATCTAAGGCGTCTTCACAGGCGTGGATACCGGCTCAGCAGACTTCGTCTTGTTTCTGGTCCGCATGTGGTTCAGGAGAGGCCTCAAGCAGAGAGTTAGTGGATGTTTAAAACATACGGGCATTGCTTTGATAAGGCTCAGGCTGAGCACGGCTGAGTAGACTCAGGGCTTCCGATGCCCTTAGGCAGGTACTTCCACGGGGACAAGCGTGGAATAGCTTTCAAGCAGCAATATTTTCAGAAAGCCTCCAATCTAGAGAACGAGACCAAGAATTGTGTTTTCCTTCCTTGCGGGTTCTGAGGTACTTGTTGTAACAGAGTTTTCATACTGGCTCAAATCCAATCATCTAATCTTGTATGTCAAGTGGCTTTTGCTTCGAAGTTCCAAAGTGCGTTTTCAGGCTTCGCTGGTGCCTTGTAAAAACATGCAACATTGTGAGCTACTAGGTCACTCGTTCGATTTCTAGTTATTTGCGAACATGATGCTGTGCCGTGTATCCACTCAAGATACCCTGCGAGTTCAATTCGCTAACCGTCTCCTGGAGATTATCCAACTCCTTTGCACAGGTTTTGGCCTTCTCGACAAGCCTCAGATGGATACAGGACGGTGGAGGCAAGTGGAAACGGTGTCTTTCATGAAAACCCATACAGCAAGATTCCGAGCACCATGGGCCTCATGGAGTCTAATTTGGGCGTGCAACTGGGAACACGCAGCAAGGGAAGCGCAGTTGGATTTGAGCTGCTCTGCCAAGTCATACATTTTAGCCGACCATTTGCCTAGGCAGCCCAAAACCTTAATGCAGTAAGTGGATGGCAAGGCATCATCATCCATCTCAGGAAACGTGATCTTCTTGAGCATCTTTCCAGCGGCTGCGTGTGCATCAGCTGCTTCATTGCGTTGTTGCTCACCTACGAGAACATAGACAGTCTTCCCCCCCCAAAGGGAAAAGAAACCCTGCACTGCAGTACTCAATAAAATCTGAACATCCCTCTAGCACCTGATACACTTAGACATGAAGAAGTAGAGTTTTCCCGTCCTTTAAAATCAAAAGTGTTCAGCATTACAATGCATTACTATCAATTAAAGAACTTTGTAGGGCCTGCGGTTTCAACATATGATGCATGCTCGAAGCTACACGAACCAACGTCCAACTCCCCATCCAGGTCTTCGGATCCAACATCCGAATCCTCTTGCTCAATGAGGTCCCTCTTCCGTTTCCTCAGCGTGTCCAAAACAGGAAAGAACTAAGCAAAAGAGTCCACCAAAACTTGAGTTTGAATCCTGAAGCAACCCTTTGGATGCTGAACAAGCCGAGTCAAAAAACTTACCAAGGGATCTCCAACAACTATTTTTTTTGTCAGGGGCACTATGCATGTGGTACGTGTGTAAGGGGGGATGTTGGCGCCTTTGTGAAACCAAGTGTCAACACACGGCCACTGGTCTTCTTCTCCCTCCAATACAGCTTCACATCCTTCTCATATCGGTCCCTCCTGGCAGGCCAAGTCTTCTGGAAGGACGTGGACATGAACCTTGCACATCCCTTCTGGAAGTTGCATACTCGAGTGAAGGCCTGATCCAACCTTTACGGTTAGCGCATTCAGCTTTGATTGCTTTGATTCGTGACCTCGGAGTCGTGACCAATAATATGGAACCACTACAATACTAAGAACAGCCTATACACATGCTGGCATGCTAGGGTCGATTTGGCACAGTAGAAACTAGTAACTGCACCATACTTGCACCAAGATACTCTGAGATACCTTCATCTTTCATGTCTTGCTCCGAAACAAAGTCACCATCAACCCACAAATCTTTCTCCGTGATGTGCTGACGGATGCGTTTGGTGGCGTTCTTGACAAACAGATCCTGCAAGAAGGACATTATGGGAAAGAGCACGGGAGTAAAACCATGGTGTACAGTATACAGTATAAGGGAAAGAAAACCAATAACCTAAACTGGGTCCTTGTCAAAGTTTGCCTTTTGGAACTCCTCCAGAAGCTTGTTTTGATCACCATTCTGCCACTGATCCGCCAATTCTTGCGGAACCAACAATTTCCCGTTGGCTCGGGGTTTCATGAGCCGGTCTATCCGCTTCCTCATGGCTGTTTTGGTCATGACCCCAGCCAACAAACCTCCAAACCCATGGTCATTGGCATCCATCGGTTTAGAGGGTGGAGTTGGCGTCGCACCATCGAAAGTAAGACTCTGCCTGACATCAGCTGTGTTTGGGGTGCACGGGGAATGACTGATCCCTGAAGGTAGCCGGACCAAACGGCCATCCCCCGCATTCGGCGCAGGCATCGGATTTGCAATCCCAGGCAATGGCTGCTCGGGTGGGCCCTGGCAAAGCGGATGCATGCCAAGAGTCGGGCCAGAAGAGGGTCATTTAAGAATCCTTTGGTTGACGACTATATAGTTCATGCGTGTAAGATTTATTGAATATTCTTCGTATATGACAGGAGGGTTGCACGCACAAGGTCATCTCCAGAAACTTGGCCTCATCATTGTTTAGGGATGCCACATCTTCAAGTTCAAAGGATGCCATGTTGAACCTATACTATAGAGCTCCGCTCACTACAAAACCGGTGTTCCATCCATGGCCCATGTCCAGCCTCCTGCAGCTGAAGTTTGGCATAGTCTTTCTTCATTTCCTGTCCAGGCAGCAGCGAAGCATATTAATATTGTATATTTGGTTTCTTATGGGTACGAGGCATTCTCCGTTGTTGCTGTTCAAGTTTGTTGTTTGTTGATCTCTGTTCAAAAAATAGCACCTACAGAGCGATTTTTGGAAAGAAACCGTCAGTGACACAGCAGTTGCATCCTTTCTAGTCACTAGTGGCTTTGAATTGTATTTTATTTCATGAAGCCCGCCCCAAGGAGTTTTCTACAAAATAATTTTATACCTCGAGGCAAATTATACCTTGCTTCAGAAGTGTGAACAACACTAATGTTCACTGTTCTGCTGAGTCATGGATCTTACCCTCAAACTGTCATCGGCAATGTGTTGAGCAAATACAGTAACTAACAATTGCTAATGTTGGTCTTCATTAATTACAAAAGAAGGCCCTCTCACCAAAGGTTGTGCTTTGGTTCTTCAATCCACCACTCTTCTTTCACAATTCAGTATGCACAGGAACAACACCAACACTAGAATCGCTGCAGTGTAGTTCCGTGTTTGTGACCTTTGGTGTCCAGTCCCAAAACTTGTTATATGTTTGTGAAACAACCCAGAACCCACAAAATATGTTCTAAGCCAATTGAATACAATCTACCAAACATTGATTTTCAACATGCACCAAGCTCGCTTTATAGCATCCTCCAACAACAGGTGATCTTCAACCCGAAGAACCACGAGACCAAAGGCACACGGGCAAAGGGTGTCTATTCAGGGATCCCCCAACTCCTTTGCTAATTCATGCCAAGGAAATAGACCCTTTCACTCAATTCATGGTGCCATGGGAGTTCCACCTGATAATCCTGGATGCACAAATCGCTCAAATATTGAACCCCCCTTAGTATTGATACCAATGGCTGTGACCCAGGAAAGCCTCGATTTAAACACCTGTTTTCCACAACACAGTGGCTATCGCATTGTTTGCCATCACCCCTCCTCTAAGCTGGCCAACTCGGCAAGAAGCTCCATTTCATTGCAATGGGACAGGTCTTGGCAGCGCACCACCTCGTCCCCATCCATGAGCGTAGAAGAGCTAAAAAGACGAGAAGGTAGGGAAAAGCTGGACATGTTGATCCCAAAACTCTGTCCGGAAATTTCCGCCGCCAACCCACGTACTTCCGCCGCGATCCCGGGTATTTCCGCCGCCAAAAAAAAAGCACACGAGTGATTTGGAGTTCATGGTCACGCCATGACCATGCAACCTTAATTTACACATGTGTGTGGTCATGCACATGGTCATGCACATGGTCATGCACATGGTCAGTCATGTGCATGCATGCATGGTCATGTGCATATGGTCATCAACACTGTATGCCCCATACTCGAAATATGAATGCATGGTCAGGTCCACTGCTGTGTGTGGTCAGACACGACAATAAACCTTTTCCCCCACACGTGCAAGGCTCCATGATCATCCCAGCGGAAGGCGCTTGGGCAAAGCTGCCCTCCAGGCATCATTGGGAATGCGGAGTCTCTTGCTCCCCCCGAAGGTAAATAAGAACATCCTCCAAGTCACAACATGGATCCCACGTATCCTCATAGGAGGCCATATTGAAGAGCTCCAAAACGGTATGGTCCTTTGATACCTTAATATTTAAGTCAACAAGATTGAACAAGATTGATCATTTGGGAGAGTAGGGTGGACTCAATTGCTTCAACAAGTGACGGGAGGCAAGGCTTCATAGGGCTTGGCAGCAATGAAGTGGGGAACCAATCTTATCACATTGGCAGCAAAGCGATAAGTGTACCGCCTGGGCTACCATGGAGAATAAGGACATGTCCGGGTGTCGGAGTTGGTGTTGCAATTGTTTGCAATTGTTGCAGCTAGAACATAAACCAAGCTACTGTGTTCCCTTGAGCTGGTCAGTCCCCTGCCACCTCTTCTTTCCGTCCTTGTCAATCCATGTTTTGGTGGTGCGGACCTCTGTGGGCTTCTCTGCGGGCAACAATGGTCCCAGGTCAAGGCATTCTATATGGGGGGGACGAGCCCCACATCCAAGTTCGTTTCCACGTCATGCCACCATGTTTCTTCATCCAGAAGGCGGTCTTGTACATCTTAGCACGCACAAACATGAACGCCGACATGGGAGCATGAACCAATGCCAACATTTTGTTGCATCAAAGTTGCGTAGATTTGAAATGACAACAAAAGTTGTACAAGCCACACATATCGATCGTGAAGAGCAATCAAAGAGTTGGATGGATTTTCCAGTAGTATGGTTCCACCAGAAGCCACGGTCAAAAGCATAAGAATCACTGACCTTGAGTAGGTTAACCAAAAACTAGCAAATGCCAGCTAGCATGATGCTTGCACATGAAATGAAACGATGTTTCAATTGCCGCCCAAAGAACCTTGACACGAGTTTGTTGCTTTTGCGAACAGAAGGAACTTGTTCATCTCCATGCGGCGTGATAATGCACCTCTTACCGGTTCCTCTGTTTACAGGTGTCCAACTGCTACAGCATGTCGCAAACAGAGACACCAGCTGGTTGAAGCGTGACCGAAGTATGAGCTTGATTGCTAGCACAAGGCCTGCAGACGAGTTCATGTCCATGCTACGCCGCTTGCCAACTTTAGGCATTGAGTACTCAAAATCATATGCCACAGCATGAATACCCCCCCATCTCCGCCATTTGAGCTACCCGCCCAACTCCAGAGAAATATTCAATAAGTCCATACTCCATTTGGGTGCCCTCATCATCTTCCATCCAGCTTACCAATAGCACCAGAAGTATGATGACCTTAGATGGGTTCGGTTGGATTGGAGACTGGTTTGGAATGCTCCTGCCAAACAAGGGGTTGGTTGATGGCAAACAAGGTACCTTTGGGCAACGGAGTGCAAATAGGCGTTTGAAGAAAAGGTCCAACTCATGTGGTCCCATGGCTTCACAACATCAACCATCGCTTGAGCAGTAGCACCACTGCAGAAACCATGGGTCTTTGTGACAGACATGTCAGGTTGCACGTCAACCTTCAAATTCAAATCTCAAAAACATCGTTTCCCAGTTCATGCCTGGAACTTCGGAATGATACACTCCAATCCCAAGCTTTGCCAGGCCAATCTGGCCCCGCTTGAGACCGTACATGACCTGGCACGGAGGAGAGAGTTTGGGAGAAGAGAAACTTAAAACTGGACGGGATGGGCCGGTCCATGGGAAAGCTACCCGCTATAAACATATTTGTGTTTCTTTTTCGCTTCTGTTGAGAGCAGCTGCACCCAAGATTGCAAAATAGGAACCTGTTGTGCACCGCTGTTTTTTCACATCCCCAAGCTCCCCGATGTTGGTCATGGCACGAGTGACACTCGTGTTAACTAGCGTACGTACGATATATGTGCTGTGCACACATTTGTTTCAAAAGCCAGCTGGAACACCCTCAAACATCAGCACATGACAACGATAGAAAACAAGTTTTGACCATGCAGAACAAACTTATAAGCACACCAGGCCACCAGCTGGAAACTACACCTAATTGTTGCCGCAATTGGGGCAGCGCTAGCTCTTCTTCACGATGTCGATGAAATCAGTGATGCAACCAGCAGCCATTCCCTTGTACTCAGAGACATCCTGCGGCGGGTTGGCGTTGAACACCTTCACGCATGTGTTCCACCAAAGCTCCTGAAATCAAAACAACTGATTCCAGCCAAGACCTGATAGTCAGATACCGCATGCTTGCGATAAAACAAGCAAACAAAAACAAAACAATCATTGACAAACTTCAGATTTTTCAACTATAGTCCTGCCACTGAAAAGGTCCAAAACCAAGGTCGCGAATTTGGTCAGAGATATTCTCCATGAAGACATCTTTGATTGCGTTCCACCGGGCCTTGGCTTTGGGACAGGTCGACGGGCACGGCCTGCGACCAAAGGTTGCACCAGTAACACGACGCCTCTTGGTCTTGGGCTCTGTCTCAGCACCATCCTTGCCACCCGGACCCTCATTCTTGGCCTCAGCCTCAGCAGGCGCCACCATGGCATCCTCACCATCATTCTTGACCTCAGCAGACTCCAGCATGGCGGCTGGCACAGCACCAGAAGCCTCGCTGTGATTTTCTTGAGGCTCATCCTCTCGAGGCTTGGTTGCCTTACCCTTTCCTTTGGCCTTAGCCTTTGCTTTTACTTTCGCTTTTGCCTTTGCTGCTGCCTTGGGTCCTGGCCTTGCCTTGGCTGCAGGCGTCTTTGGCTCCCCATCAGCTTTAGACTCACCAGGCTCACCAGGCTCACCATCCCCATCCAAATCAATGACATCTGCAGCTTCAAGAGCTGCGTTGCCACGTCCGCGCCCTTTACCACGCCCACGTCCACGGCCTTTGCGGGGTGGGCGCGCCATGAACTGCTGAACTCGAGGAACAACAGGGGCACGGACATCATCAGACAGCCTCTTCCTCAGGAGAACCAACAT